AGGGCACCTGGGAGTCGAGCATTGATGGGTGGTTGTATCAACATGCTCTCTGCGTGGGCCCCTCCCCCTGGAACTCAAAAGAAGCCCTCCCGGACAATTGGCAAATATTCAAGCGCCTCATGATCGACTCCATTACTGCGTCAGCTCGGTGGCGGATCACGCAATACCACACCATGAGCTGAATGCTGCGAGTGCCGCAGATGCATTTTTGCGAGGCGGCGAGCTCCTCTCCCGTTCGGGCTCCGAGCAGCGCTTTCCTCACGGGACCGTCGGCTCGCAGTCGCTCCTCGGTCCCGGGAGCCGCCCCCCACGGCCACCAGAGCGAGGCGTGCTTCCGCGGCGCCCTCGCGCCGCGTCACAGCCACGACTGGGGGGCCGCGTCGCGCCGCGCGAGGGCGCCGTGCTCGCGAGTGGCGGCGGGCTCCGGTGGCAGTCCCGCCCTCCCGCCTCAGTGTTGAGCCGGGCATGTCCCTCCACGGTAGGTTCGCGTCGTGTCGACCAGCGGCGACCCCAGCGCGGACGTTCAAGGTTGAACGCCGCCGGCGACCCAGAATCGATCGATGTTGAACGATCGGACGTTGCGGCAGCGGCCGATCGTTCAAGGTTGAACGATCCCTGCGGTGTCAAAAACCAACGCTGGGGTCGGCACGACACGAACCTGCCGCAGAAACATCGTCTGGGGACGGTTTCTGTTACTATTCTTGGCCATTTGGGAGTCCTTGTGGACCACTTCTCATGTGTCGTCCGAACTCCGCCTGTAGGGGGACGTACCCGACCGAAGGCCGGCGGCCTCTTGCTGCCCCGGCGGCACGATGTGCACTCTTCAGGAGAGGAAAAAACACACAGACACAATTAATCTTCGATTTTCCAATAAATATGGGAAAATATGGGAAGCGGTGGGGAAGACAGAATCCCAGACAATATGGGAAAATATGGGGAATATTTTTATTTGTGTGTATTTATTTGTGTGTCCTGGGGCCCCTTCAACGATGTGCACTCTGGGCGTGCCTGGGCCGCCGCAGCACAGCGGCGCCAGGCCCCGGCCCGTCCGCCTGCGGTGCTCCTGCGCGCGGCCGGGGGCGTCCCTGCGGGGCCCGGCTGGTGGGCCCCGGGGTGCAGTCGGACCGAGGTGCTGTCGGGGCCCATGCCAAGGGACACCCTTCAGGAGGGGAAAAAACACACAGACACAATTAATCGTCCACTCCCAGGAAAATATGGGAAAATATGGGAAGTGGGGGGGAAGACAAAAGCCCAGAAAATATAGGAAAATATGCAGGATATTTTTATTTGTGTGTATTTGTGTGTTCCAGGGCCCCTTCAACCCTGCTTGCCTCCAGGGTGGTTTGGGTTTCTTGGGCTTTGATGGCTTGGCTATGTGACGCGTGACGCCCCCACACCAAGCATCGACGGACGTCCTGGGGTCTCGGGGTTGGGTTTCTCGTGGGAGGTTTCTCGTGGACGGACCTCCACTGTATGAGATCGAAGTCTGTTCGGGGAGGGTATCCAATTGTTCTTCGTGTTTGTTGGATGTTCCTGTGGTGCATCCTGGGGAGGGTGCCCTTGGATGTTCTGTCTGCTTGGGCCGACGGAGGGTCTCATGGTCTTGAGGGATGTTCTTCTGGCCTATAGGTCCTACTGTAGGCCCCTGGGGACCGATCCTGAGCGGATTTGGGCAGGGCGGGAGGGACGCCGTTGTTTCACCTGGCCCTCCTTCGAGACGCGCTGCCTCCGCCGCAAAAATATATTCATTGACACCCTCCAGTGGACTGTCCCTGGGCTTCATGGGGAGGGTGGCGGTGTCCATGAGGCACCACAACGCGCCAGCGATTCTATACACCACCATCTTGCCTTGAAGGAACAGGAGACATTCGTCGGCGGGTGTTTCATCATGACGTGGAGTCCTGCCTCGCGCATCTGCCTTCGCGCCCTAGGAAACGAAAGCACCGCCTGGGCGCCGGAGGTTAATCTCGGCCGCGGGGGGCGGGAGGACCTTTCGAAGAAACGCTACGACTTACTTCATGGCCTGCTCAGGGGGTTCGGTTAGCCCCAGAATTATAGTGGGCTTCGGTAGCAAATCATGGGAGCCTCGTGTACCTCTTCAGAGCGCGCTAGCGTCGATTAGCGTTTGGAAATCCATGAGGTAGCGCCGATTTAGCGTCGATGATCGTCGACAAGCGTCGGTTAAGCGCCGACTAGCGTCGATTCGCAAGGGCCATCAAGATGGTATGGGAGGCTCCCGAGTTGCCACCGTAAAGGGCTGGGTCCTTTCCCCCTGCAGAAGTCAGGATGTGAGCAACATGTAATTCTGTGTGTGCCGTGGTGGCAGACGCGTGCAAGTTGGAACAAGCAGGTGAAATATTTTGTGATGGAATGGGCTGGCGTGTCCGACTTTGAACGCCCACTGCTGCTATAGCGGCGCCGCCCCTTGCGCACGGGGCTCCATCAGATGCTAGACCATACATTCCTCTAGGGTGGCGGAGTGCACGTCCGAAGCACGTGCAATCCAGTCGATGCGGGGCTTGGCGGAAGCCTCTTTTGGGCCTCTGGGAGGCCTCTTAGGGGCTTCTGGGGGCCTTTTGCGGGCTTCTTTGGGGGCCTCTTGGAGCCTCTTGAGGCTTCTTAGCAGCATCGGAGCGCTCTGGGGGGCCTCTGGGGGGCAGTTGTGGGGCTTGTTGGTAGCCTTTGGGGGCCTCTTGTGAGCCTCTTGGGGGCCTCTTAAGGCTTTTGAGGGTGGCTCGAAGTGTCTGTTCGGGTCCCCCGCCTGTGCCTCCTCTTGGAGCCGTCTGGGGGGCTCTCTTGTCGCCGTTTTGGGGGTCTCTGGGGCCGCTTGAAGGCCTCTCGGGTTGTCTTGGGGGTAACTGGGGCCGTTTCGGCACGCCCGCGTAACAGCGTGTCGCTGTATGCCAAATGATGAGTCAGGTTTCGGCACCGCCGAGGGCGGGACAGAGAAGGAAGAGCAGGGGGTGGATGGGCAACGACAGGTGCTGGACGAAACAGGGTTTGCCGCGGACGCACATGCCATTATCTTCGCGGCCACGACGTCATTGAGCGTGCTGGTGTCGCCTTCTGTTATCAACCGTCGTGGTCCGACATTGCTGCGTCTGCATTCCTCCCGCGCCATTCGCAAACCATCAAGGGAGGAACAACCACTCGGGCCTGGCAATTGGCGTTTACTACACGGCCCTGGGCGTTTACTAAACAGCCCTGCCCTGTTTGATTCCTCCTGTGGGTGCGTTTACTGCACGGCCTCGCGTGTCGGGGTGGTCGTTATCGGGGTGGATTCACTGCGCTCTGAACCAGCGCACGGCGGACTGGCGCCCCCCCAAGCTTGGAAAGGCCGCCCTGCACGGCAAACAGTGCGCCACTCCAGAAACACTGAGCCAGGCGAGCGCACGAGATCCCCCCCCCCCAAGTGAGTGGTGGCCAACCAGTCCGCGGGCACCGCTGCCCCCCCTCCCCCTCCTCCTCCTCCTCCTCCTCCTCCTCCTCCCCCTCCTCCTCCCCTCCACCTCCTCCTCCTCCTCCTCCTCCTCCTCCTCCTCCTCCTCCTCCTCCTCCTCCTCCTCCTCCTCCTCCTCCTCCTCCCCTCCTCCTCCTCCTCCTCCTCCTCCTCCTCCTCCCCCTCCTCCTCCTCGAGCGCGGCCGGCCTGAAGGGGTGCTTGAGGGGCGCGGCCTCCGGGCAGAGCGAGGCTCGGCCAGTACCCCCTCCCCCGCCGCTGTCCAGCGGCGTTCCCCTACCGATCCTCCTCCTCCTCCTCCTCCTCGTCCTCCTCCTCCTCCTCTTCCTCCTCGTCCTCCTCCTCCTCCTCCTCCTCATTCTCCTCCTTGCTGGGGCCCTGGGGCTCGGAACGTCTGGCCCTCAGCTCGTCGCCAGGCTTTCTGGACATGGCGCGGCGAGGGTCGGCTCAAGAGGGCGGGCGGCGGCCACTGGCGGTTTACGGGGGTGTCCCTGCGCGATGTTTTGTTTGGCTTGCCGTTTGGAGGAGGAGGAGGAGGAGGATGAGGAGGAGGAGGAGGAGGAGCAGGACCAGTGTAAACCGAAGACGCATCATCGAAGCTGCAATCAGCCCTCCCTCCTTGCTCGCTCTTCACAAGCCCACCACAAGATTCTGTTGTTGTGGGAAGTGCCCCATGGGAAGACAACTGTTTGAGAATCCTCAGTCGTGCCAAGACACCGTTCGTGGGACTTCACCGCCGCAAATCAGCGTGACGGTTGCGTCACGACTGTTTTAAATCGTGCCCGGAAGTTGTTCTTGGGACCTCAACGCCGCGAGAAAATGTGACTGCTCCGTCCAGCCCCAAGTCCTGCCAGAACACCTGTCCTGGGACTTCAGCAGCGTGAAACCTTGAAGAGACTGCATCAGTTTAAGACGAGTGTGCGCAGCGCTCAAGAAGGCGAGCGCTGCATTCGGGAAGCGAGCCGCCCTCCATCTTCAAAGCTGTTGCTGATTATTCGAACGACTGCGCGCGTTGCTAAGGGAAGCGCCGCATCTCGAACATCGGCCGCCATCCATCGTTGTAAACGATGCAGCATCTTAAGGCGAATGCGCGTTGCGCTAAGGCAAAAACCACACTTTGAAAACCGGCCGCCCTCCGTCAGTGAAATTTCGCATTTTTTAAGTCGAACATGCGTGGCGCCAATGTGAGAGCATCGTTTTGAAAACCACCCACCTTCAATCCTTGAACATGTTGCAAGTGGTGGGGAAACCTCTTGCGAAACGCCCAGCCCGCCATACTGACACGTACGTCACAGAGAGTTCGATGTAAGGGAAAGGATGGAGGTGGAGGACATGTCAGAAGTCCTTCCCTGAGGAGGCGGAGGAGGAAGAGGGGGAGAAGGAGGAGGAGGAGGAGGAGGAGGAAAAGGAGGAGGAGGAGTCGGCGGTGGCGGCAGAAGAGGAGGAGGAGGAGGAAGAGGGGGAGAAGGAGGTGGAGGAGGAGGAGGAGGAGGAATGTGCAGGCGAGTATGAGACGGAGTAGGAGTTGTGAGCCGCGGACAGGTCCAGCAGAACCAGCAGCACGCACAGCTCAGCGCCGAGCAGCAGGCCGAGCGCGACGCGAAGATGAGGGAGGACTTCAAGGCCCCCCTTCGTAGAAGAAGCTAAAGAGGAGGAGGAGGAGGAGGAGGAGGAGGAGGAGGAGGAGGAGGATCGAAGGTCGAAGGTCGAAGGTTGAGGCCAGTCCCCAAGCTTTTGGGGCCTCTCGCCAGGAGGTCGGGTGCACATGATGTGGCCGGCCTGGGCGAGAGCCGGGTGCACGTGCGGCCCCGAGGTCTGTCCAGCGCTCGGCCCCCGCGTGGTCGGGTTTGCGCGGGCCCTGCGCGCGCAAGTCCGGGCGCGGGCCCGCGCACGCCTCTCGCGCGAGCGTGTCTCCGGTCAAGCAGTGGCGAAGCGTCCTGGCTCGCCTTTGGGCCTACCAAACCATATTCTAAGAATTGTTTGTGGTTTCCACGAAGTGTTCTTAGAGCATTTCTGGCTGAGACCGTTTTGTTTTAACACATTGGCTTGATGTTCTAAGAACATGGTTTTTTTGTTGGAGCATGTTGGGGCTCCATGAACACTCCGTGGTAGGACTATAGGAATGCCGGGACGGTCGGTCCCTGCTCAATCCAGCTCTTTGGTGCGTGTGTTGTGCTCGGGGGGTCGCGCCGGCCAATTTGCGAGTTCGTGCCCCTATCTAGCTGCTTGCTGGAGCGGAGTTCGCCGCCTCGCCGCTGACGGACAAACAAGTGTTGTGCAAGGGAGCGCTGCTCTTGGAGCACCCTGGATGCGCCAGTCCTGGGGGATTATGCTGGGGGTCCTCTCTGAGGCCCCATGACCACTGGCCCCCCCCTCCTCCTCGCTCCAACGAGGCTGCTTTTTGTCAGCTTCCTCCCGGCGTGGCGGGCGTTACTCGGGGCGGGGGGGGAGGGCCCAGTGACGTAATGTTTTGCGCCAGCCGGTTCTGGGTATGGTGTGGAACAGCTAAGGCTGATACGGAATTAGAGATTATCAGGGCCTGCGGGCACCAGGCGTTACGTCACAAGGGTGGCTTCTTGGAATTGCCTAGGGTGTTGGACATTCGCAGATCCCGCTGGCGCCGAACGTTGCGCCACCAGGTGTGGGGCAGCTTGGCATTGCCGAGGCTGCCAGGCATTCCCAGGCCTTTTGCCGGCGCCGCACGTTCCTTCACCAGGGGGGTCGGCCCGGTGACGGCCGTGACGCCAGAAAATTTCAGGGTCTCCTGGGGGCCCTGGCCCTCTACACCTTAGGCGATGCTTAAGAAAACCTATTTTTTTGGCCAGAGTCTTGATTATTCTTAATGTTTCAATGTAAATCCTAAGATTTGAGTGGAATGTTTGGGTTTTTACTCAAGTTCTGAGACTATGAATTTCTTAACCCATGATTTCTTAAGCATCTCGCAGGGTGTACGACGCTGGGAATATTTCTCCCAATGCCCGCATCACAATCGGAAGACAACTGCACGCGGTTGCGCCCCAGCCGCATGCGTGCTGTTGCGCCCCAGCCCCATGCGTGCTGTTGCGCCCCAGCCCCGCACCGCACATCCACTGCTGCGCGCATCCGTTTCCAGTGGGGCCCCAATGCTGTGTTGATATATCATCAGAGTGAGGGTGCAGAACGGTCGTTCCGTGTCCCTGGGCGCGTGGCTGAAGAAGGGGGACTCCGCGGTGCGGGTTGTTGTTGCTTTGTTGTTGCATTGTTGCGATGTTGCTGTCGTTGTTTTTGCTTGGTGCCGTTGTTGTTGATGTTGCTGTGATCACGTGTTATGCAGGACTCGCGCTCTCACGTGGGACTTCCTCGCAATGCATTCAGGTGCCGCGCCCTCGGCTCATCGTATCCACTGATGGAACTGCCTCGTTGGAAGACACTTGTTTTAAGACCTTGAAACATGCCAAAACATTGTTCTCGGGATTCCAACGCCACGGATCAACCTTACTGCTGCGTGTTGACGATACTGAGTCGTGCCAGGACGCCTTCTCTAGGATTTCAGCACCGAGAACCAACGTAACTGTTGCACCAGCATAGTCGTGCCTCGCTCCAACACACCATGTCTGGTACGTTGATGCTAGGAAGAGGTGGAACTTCTGCAAATGTTTTAAACGAGCGTGCGCGGCGCTAGGGCAACATTCTGAAAATGACTCGCCCTCAATCCGTGTGCTCCGCGCTCAAGCGAGAGCCACATTTTGAAAACCACCCGCCGTCAATCCGTGAATATCTTGCAGTTTGTTTAAACACATGTGCGCTGCGCTAAGGCGAGAGGCAATGTTTGAAAACCACCCGCCCTGCATCCGTGAGAATCTTGTAAACTCTTAAAGTGAATGCGCGCCGCGCTAAGGCGAGAACCACATTTTGAAAACGACCCGCCCTCAACCAGTGAAACGTGAAACTGCTGCCACCTTCTAAGCCTCATAATCATAATTGGTGAGGAAGTCTCAGGCGAAACGCCCGGCCCGCCCAAACAACTTGCCTCCTGGTGCGACACGGAGAAGTTACCTGCACGGAAAGGAATGGAGGGGGAGGCGGAAAATGAGGAAGAGGAGGGGGGAGAGGAGGAGGAGGAGGAGGAGGAGGAGGAGGAGGAAGAGGAGGAGGAAAAGGAGGAGGAGGAGGAGTCGGGAGGAAGAGGAGGGGGTGAGGGACGAGGAGGAGGAGGAGAAGGAAGAGGAGGAGGAGGAGGAGGCGGGAGAGGGGAGGAGGAGGAGGAGGAGGAGGAGAGGAGGAGGAGGAGGAGGAGGAGGAGGGGGGGGGGGACGTCCGAACCTTCTGTGAAGGCCGCTCCTTCTTGCTTCCCCCCCCCGGGCTCGCCGCAGGGCCTCGGTGCCGTGCCCCTCCCCCCCCCCCGCCCCTTCTTCCGCGCCGCGGGGAGAAGGCGCGCCGGAACGCCCTGCAGCAGTTGAAGGCCCAGCAGGAGTCGGCCCGCGGACCCCCATCGGGGGGCGACGAGGGCGAGGCCCCAGGTCGAGTGATAGGCCTCCTCCTCCTCCTCCTCCCTCTCCTCCTCCTCCTCCTCCTCCTCCTCCTCCTCCTTCTCCTCCCTCTCCTCCTCCTCCTCCTCCTCCTCCTCCTCCGCTCCCTCCTCCTCCTCCTCGGCTTCCAAGGCGAGGGCCTCAGACCACCACCGCCGTAAGTTTCCGGCATCGCTCGGACGTGTGCAGTGTGTTTCGGCGCGGGCCATCGCGGAGCATTTTGGGATTGAGTCAGGCGTGTCTCTCTACAGGAATAAGAGTCAAAGAGAATCAACACACAGTCTGGGGACGTTTTTTTGTTGCTGTTGTTGATATGTTGATCATTCTTGGGGTATGGTTTCAATATTTCTATTCTCTCGTACAAGATCCCCCTGTGGGGGGACACGCCCGGGCCAAGGCGAGGCCTCAGGTCGAGGTGCCCTGACCTTCCCGCGCGTTAGCAGAAACGTCATGCAGGAAGGTCGCCAGGGTTGGGCTTCCGAGGGGCTTTTGGTATCGCTTGGACGTGTGCGATTTGTCTTCGCGCGGGCCATCGCGGAGCACGTCGCATCGTTTTTCAGAAGCCAGGCGAAGGCTGGCAAACCCGTTGCTGCTAAAACGGATCTCTCGGAACTTGTTTGTCTTCTTCCGGGAAGCAGCCCGTTTACTATGTAGCGCGCTGAGTTTTATTCCGGGAGCCTTTTTTATTCTTCCTGGAAGTCCGTTGTAGCAGCCACGGATTTGCCAGCCCTCGCCAAGCTTCCGAATTTCGCGGGGGAAGACACGCACGATATCGAGACATGTGCGGATCATGGGCGTCCGAGCGATGGCAAGGGGGCGCGGGGCACGCTGGAAGCCCGAGGACTGTCCAGCGCAGAGCCTGGATGGCCAAATCACCTGCACGGACACAAGGACCCTGCCGTGCACACAGGCTAGCAACAGCGGCACGGAGTCGCGGGCGCGGGTGCGTCGGCAAGCGGTGATTATTGGGCCCGGTAATTGTCAACAACCGATTCGGCATGAAAAGCCAGCCGCAGGTACACGTTGTTCATTCCTAATACTTCGAGAGTTCTTTGATTTTTTGGGGGCCACGATTCTTTCATTTTTAGTTGTTCCATCCTGGGCCTCTTCCTGGCCACTAGGGGGCCAGGAACAATCAGAAATCAGAAGAACGAGCACACTTAGAAATGAGCACGATTAGAAATGAGCGACGTGCACACTGTCCAGACCTCGGGGGGTCCATGTTGTGAAGGAGACGTGCCGTCGGAGGCCTGGGTACAGCAGGCTCGTGTCGTGCCGACGCGGCGGCGACCCCAGCGCGAACGTTCAGGGTTGATTCTCGCCAGCCCAGAACCGGCCGATATCGAAAGATCTGCGAGATCACAAACCCGCGATCGTTCAAGGTTGAATGCACCACGTGGTGTCGGAAGTTCACGCGCAAGTCGTCATGACACGAATTTGCCGTATAGAGGGTGAGCATTTGAGATTGGCGCGACGAAAATCACCATTCAAGGGGGGGGCGTTCGAGCGCCAAGAGGTGCCGTGCCCCTCGTCGAAGCCGAGGTCGACGATGACGACGACGGCGAAGTGACCACATCTCTGGCCTTCCCAGTAGGCTTCCCGCGGGCCCCCCCATCTCCATGGGTGGATTCACCGCGGGGTCCTGGCCAGAGTGCTCTTCTGAGAAAAAGCCCTAGGGGGCAATGCTCCGACCCCTTGTCGGCGAGGACCATCGAGGAGCATCCTTGATCATTTGGCGGACGAAACCGGAACAAAAACACAGGGAATGGACGTCCGAGCGCTGGCGAGACCCTGGGTGCGCCTTCGCGGCCGAGCGGGAATCGAGTGGTGAGGCTGTCGGGTGGTGAGGTCGGCATGCAGTAGCACCGTGGGGTCACGATCCTTTTGCGCCCGTCGGGGTTCACACCGCTGTCCGCTTCTTGTTGGACGGCCCACCACATATACCAGTCAGCCAGGTAGTATCAAAACTATTCGATTGTTGCTTCCTTTACGGCCTTCGGCCCATTTTGCACCGTGCTTGGGTGGAGAGGCCTCTTGGATGCCCATGGGGGTCTATTAGGGGCCTGCTCGGTCTTCCTGGTGGCCTCTTTCGGGCCTGCTGGCGGGCTCGGGGGTCCTCTTTGGGCGGAGGTCTTGAAGTGTCAGCTCGACCGTCCCCTGTTGGACCTCTCTTGAGGCAACTCTTGGGCCGCCTTGGCGGCCCCTGGGTCGTCTTGAGGCCACCTTGAGCCGTCTGACGGTTTGGGAGCGATATTCTGGGCCTCATGGGCAGCTTCGGATCGTTGGAAACCCGATATAACGAAAATGCATTTTCTTGTCAAGGCCAACAGGGAGTCGATTCTTGACGCTTCGTGCATTCCGTTCATCAAGAAATGATGCCCAGGCGAGTTGCCTTGATCAGGAAATTGTAGAAACATGCAGTGGAGCAAGTTTGAGTTCAGCCAGATCAGACCTAGGACGAGGACGGGAACTAGGAGGAGGACGAGGAGCAGGGCGAGGAGGAGAAGGAGGACGGACGAGGACAAGGACGAGGACGAGGGCGAGGGCGAGGAGGAAGAGGACGGCGACGAGCAGCAGCAGGAGGGTGGTCGACGACCAAGGTCTCTGGCAGCCAGCCTGGGGTCTCCCTGGACGCCTTCCTGGGGTCCTCGTGGTGCTCTGGCGGTCCTCTGTGGGGCCCTTTTTGGCACCGCCCACCAAGCCACCCCAACCCGACCCGAAGGCCCCGAGTTGCCCTCCATTTCCTGCTGGGGGTGGGTGGGGAACATTGATAAACACAATTAAGTTCGGGTCTTCGGGTTGGGTTGGGTTGGGGTGGCTTGGCAGGTAGTCATCTTGGGTCAACGTTGGAGGGTATTGGAGGCCTCTTGGGGGCTCTCTGGGAGGTGTCCGTGGGCTCTCCTGGGGCCCTCTCTGGGGTCCCTTGGGGGCATCTTGGATCGACGTCACCCCTATGCACTTATACTATATGCGCGCGTCGCCCCCCCCCCCCCCCGGGCGACGCGCGCACCAAGAAATCTTATAGTATATGCGTCGTGGCGGGCGCTTTCTGGCCACACCGCTCGGGAAACGATATACTACAAGATGGGTGAACTGTATGTTCTCGTCGGACGCGCGCCTCCAAGGAGGACATGTAGTACTAGTACGTCTGTGCGTCCCGTCGAAGGGCGTCGATCAAGGGAGAGAGTGTCCCTGATTTCCCCCCCCCGTCCCTCCTTCTGACCTCGTCGGGCCCTCTTGGGGTGCCCTTGGGGCGTTTTTGGACGGTCTTGGCGCCGTTTTGTGGAACGCCGTTTGGGGGGCCTCCCTGCCTTCGGGAAAGTCACGTGAGAACACGCGCCAACAGGCGTCACGCCCTGGACACGCCTGGGAGGTCAGTATTCTGAGCCGCTGGCCCCTAAAGGAGCATTAATGGACATCGGCATATCGGTCTCAGTCCTATTTGGAGACGTGTGGCGCTGACCGCGCGAATTCTGGCGCGACCGAACTAGATGTACGGATGCTCTCCTCATGAGGTCCCCGTGGATCTCTGGGCTTGTAAGAGCCGAGCCCAGGGGGTTGATCACCAGGGATCCTTTCACTTTTTACCAGCGTGAAGACTGCCCAGCGGCGCACCAGAGATCCGTTCACTGATGGCACCTTCTCCGGGCTGGGTGGTTGACGTCAGCACGTGATGCACGAGGAGAGTCCCCTGTCATGGAAGGTAGCCGTGGTAATCATCGGGCCTTCCTCTGCCTGGTGCCGAGGGGGGCCTTGCGCCGCGTGTGCTCCAGCTGCTCCTCGTCGCGACCAGCCCCGCCAGCCCCTCGTTCGCGGCCGCCTCTTCCCACTCGCCGGCCAGGAGACTGGGCAGCTCGACAAGGACGGGCTCGCAAGAGTGATGGGCAACCTCGGCACCAGGACGGCAGCGTCTGCCTCTGGCCGCGTGGTGCTGGCTTCAGCACGGCTGCGTCGAACGAGAGAGTGGGACTGCAACGCGTAATGTGATGGATGGAGAGAGGAGGAGGAGGAGGAGGAGGAGGAGGAGGAGGAGGAGGAGGAGGAGGAGGAGGAGGAGGAGGAGGAGGAGGAGGAGGAGGAGGAGGAGGAGGAGGAGGAGGGAGGAGGAGGGAGGAGGAGGAGGAGGAGGAGGAGGAGGAGGAGGAGGAGGAGGAGGAGGAGGACGACGACAAAGACAAGACCTGTCATGCATGGGAACAGGATAATGTAGAGGAGGGGGTTATCCTGGCGGCGGAGGCGGAGGAGTTGGGAGAAGACTCGTCGATGCTGAGCGTAAACGACACTGATCCGACAACCGAGGGCATATGTCTCACAGTTTCGCAAAACATTCGTGCACCAGACTTTTGTGTTTAAACTTGGAAAGAGTGTGCCGGACCTTTGGGTAGGAACTCCATGCGACGATTCAGCCTTCGGGCGGCTCGAACCAGATGGCCCGATGTGATGCTGGCTGCACAGGCTGGGCTCGAATCGTGAATTCGCTTGGGAGAGGGGGCTGCAGCAGAGGGGAAGGAGGCCGGCATTTCTTGAGTTGCAGGTGATCTGGCGGTGCTCGTGTCGACGTCCCGCCCTTTGTCCCGAGCAGCGTCTCGCCAGAGGGCTCCGAAAGGGGTCAGAGATCTCCCAGCACCGGAAGCTCCCCAGGGGCTTGCTGGAGGGAGGCGTCTCCCCGGCCCAGGGGGGCGGTCTGGCAGCGCTCACTGTTGCGCTTTGGCGCGGTGTGGTCCAGAAGTGCGAATCCCTAGGGTTAAGTCGGCCCTGTCACTCTACAGGGGGGAACAGTCCAAAAGAGTAAAACAAAATAGTCTGGGGACGATGTTTTGACTACGTTCGGCTATTTTTGAACATGTTTTGATTTGTTTGATTTCTGTTGGTTTGTCCAACGTCCGCACGTAGGGGGACACGCCCGACCTAATCCTGAGGTGCTCTGGCGCTCGCTACATGGTCCAGCGGCGTGGCCCGGAAGCTGCCTGCAGCATTCCACTTGGGCGTTGCGTAATTGGGGGGGTCATAAATGGGGGGGCGGCGAGGGTGGTCCGAAAAGGTACCCAAACGGTACTTAAACGAGCCCCCTGGGGCGCTGGAGGGGCCCGAAAGGGGCACGAAAGGGGACCGTTTCTGACCCCCCCATTTATGACCCCCCCGTTAAGCCACGCCCAATCCACGTGTGGCGTTCTGGCTCGGTGCGGGTCAGAAGTGGGGCTCGCCGCGGTGCTCTGACACGGCCTCGGCCCCTGCAGACGCAGAACCGAGACTCGCTCGGGTGTTCCGGCTCGATGGCAGTGAGCCCGGAAGTTCTCCTGGCGCCAGATCCTCCCGAGGAGGGGCCGGGGGGAGGCTTCTCGCCGGTCCAGGGGCTGTCTGGAATCGACTCGTGCTGGTTGTGGCTCGATTGCAGCCCTTGCAGATCCAGAAGTGAGACTCAGACGATCTGGTGTTCTGGCTCGATCTCAGCTGTCGCAAATCCAGAAACGAGACTAGCTCTACTGTTCGGGCAGAGAAACCGATGTGTTTGTTTATATTCATACACATTGCCAATCTCTTGTTGTTCGTATATGATGTGTGTTACGTGTGTGCCTATAGATTGCCCCTCTCCTGTGGCTCGAACCCTATGTGTGTAACTCCCTCTCCTGTGGCTCGGATGATGTGTGTTTTACGTGTGTGCATCTAGACTGTCCCTCTGCTGTGGCTCGAATTCGATGTGTTTTACTTACGTGCCTGTATAGACTGCCACTAACCTGTGGCTCGAGCCCTACGTGTTTTACATATGTGTCTCTACATTGCCCTTCTCCTGTGGCTCGAATCCGACGTGTTTTACATATGTGCCTCCAGATTGCCTCTCTCCTGTGGCTCGAACCCAACGTGCTTCTAGTGATGTGCGCATAGATGGTTCCTTTCCTGTGGTTCGTTTCGTGCTTGACGGATTTGTCTTTTATGTGCCTATCGATTGCCCTTATCTTGGCTCTCCAGCCATCTGTGTTTTAAGTCTGTGCCTATAGATTGCCCCTCTCCTGCGGCTCGAGTCCTACGTGTTTTACACATGTGCCGATATACTGCCCCTTTCCCGGGGGCTCGAATCCGATGTGTTTTACGTATCAAGACGCCTACGGCGAATCACCGCCGCCGCTTGCCTTCTAGACTTGCCCATTTGGCCGAGCGTTGTGGCAAGAGCTCTGCCAAGCTATCGGAGCAGATGCTCCCCCAACCGTTGTGGAAACCCTTCGGGGAACACTTGGGGGAGGATGGCCGGGAAGATCGAACATCAGAAGGAGGCAGATGAGGAGGAGGTTGAGGAGAAGCTGGAGGAAAAGGGGGCATCTTGGAGTCTCCGGGGAGCCTCTTGGGGACTCCTGGGACCTTGCTGGGCTCCTCTTGGAGGCATCTTGGTGGCATCCTTGGGCCACTTCGGGGCCTTTGGGGGCCTTCTCGGGGTTCTCTTTGGCTGTCTTGGTGGGCTCCTGGCCCGTCTGACGCCGTCGGAAGCCGTCTTGGGGGCCTCTCTGGGTCGACTTGGGGCCGTCTTAGAATGCTCCAGGGCCGTCTTGGAGTCTTTCTTTGGCGTCTTCGAGGCCTCTTGGGCCGTTTTGGGCCCTCTTAGGGCCGAGCAGGGGGGGGAGGAGGAGGCGGAGGAGGAGGAGGAGGAGGAGGAGGAGGAGGAGGCGGAGTACATGGAGGAGGCGGAGGAGGATGAGGCGGAGGAGGAGGAGGATGAGGAGGAGGAGGAGGGGGCATTTTGGGAGCCTCTGGGAACTCTTGGAGCTCCTGGGAGCCTCTTGGAGGCATCCTGGAGGCCTCCTTGGGGGTCTTCAGGGGCTTCTCGGGGGCATCTTTGGCCGTCTTGGTGGGCTCCTGGCCCGTCTGACGCCGTTGGAAGCCGTCTTTGGGGCCTCTCTGGGCCAGCTCTTGGGGTGCCCTTTGCGGCGGGGTCCTTCGCGGACTTCAGCTAGCGCGGCTCTGGGAGGGGGCGGAACTGTTCCTACTCTCGCGGGCTCCCGGGAAGCGCTGCGGAGTGGTGCAGGGCAGCGAGCGCAGATCGCGCACGTCTCGCGGCGCTCCGACGGGGACAGGGCCAGGGCTGGGCGCGCATCGGGCCATTTCCGAGCGCCCCCGCTCTTCGGGCGGGGGGGGGGGCGGGGGCGTTTCCAAGGGGAAGAGGAGGAAGAGGAGGAGGAGGAGGAGGAGGAGGAGGAGGAGGGGGAGGAGGAAGAGGACGGATGAGGAGGGGGATGAGGAGGAGGAGTATGGCCCAAACGGCGCGGTGTCCACGCCGCGCGGTGAGTCAGAGAGGACTCGGGGGTCTCCGCGCGTCTTCGGGGGCTCGAGCCGTTCTCCGAGGATGTCTCGAGCGACTGCGGCGTCGGAGGCCCCAGCACCGCGCGGGGACGGGCCGCGCGGCGAGGTCGCCGGGGCTTCCGAGATCACCGCGCGGTCCGTCACCACGCAGAGTTGGGTTGAGTCGGGCGTGCCCCTCTACAGGGGGAGTGCTCCAAAGTCGTCAAAAAAGAATAGTCTGGGGACGATGTCTCGAGTCGTTCTTTTCTCTCTCTCTCTCTTGGAGTATCTGTTCTAGCCATTCTTCACTTTTCGCCCAACACCCCCCTGCAGGGGGAGGGGACACGCCCGACCTGCCCTTCGGGGGCCCCGCGGGGTGCCTCGTTCCGCCCTCGGCCGCATCGGTTTCGGGAGAGCGCGCGCCCCCGGGCAGGCAGCCGCTGCGCTCCTCTCGGGCCGCCCCGCCCGCTCTCTCCGAGCGCCAGAGGCGCAGGCCACCCGCGGGGGCGCGAAGGGCAGCGCGCTGCGCGCGTCTCGGTTGGATTTACGTTGGGCATGTCCTCCCACAAGGGGGGATTCTTCGACGAAGAAGGAGAAATCGTCAAGAAAGATTCAAGCAGGATTCAAGCATGCAGAAACATCGTCCCCAGACTATGTTTTGTGGCTAGCTTTGATCATCCCTCCTGTGGAGGGACGTGCCCGACTTCAGGTTGGATGTCCGTTCGTGGGAGCCAGGAGCGGCGTCGTTGGGATCAGTTTTGCAGTTGCGTTCGAGCCGCATTTGGCCTTGTTCCTCCTGCTGCCCCTCGCCAGTCCTGTTCCCCCCCCACCCTCCTCGCTCTGCCCGTCTCTACTGGGGGAAACAAGGGGCAGATCCGGTCCAAGTCTGGTCCAAATCTGGTCTCAAGTGCGTGTCGAGTCCAGCCCAAACCAGGCCCAGACCTCATAGCGCCCATGACGCATGCCCCACGGAACGGACACCAAGCTTTTGCCCCGGCCAGAGCGGTGGTCTTCTTCAAACAAAGGGCGGCGGGACAGCGCGAAGATGATCGCGCGTCGCGCAGCGCGCGGGGCGCGATGCGCGCAGTCCGGTGGCCCAGCTGAGGGCCAGCGGTACAAACGGGGAGTGGCCGTGGCCGAGGTCACGAGCGCCCCGCGAGCCGATCGATGCGATGGCGCGCGCCGCTGTCTGCCCGTGGCGTCGGTCGATCATCGGAGGAATGCCCGTTGAAACGATTGCGGGTTTCCCGCCCGTGCCAATGCCCCCAAGAAGAGAGCAGAGCTGGGAGGCCGCCGTTGTCTCGACGGGTCCCCATCCGAGGTACGATCACGCACCCGCCGGGGCGACTCCCATCTTTCGGACGATTGTGCTCGACTTGGGCATTCCCGCCACACTGCGCATGCTCGTTGCCCTTTCGGCGCGGCGGGTAGCGCGAGCCCGGCGCGCGCGACCGACGATCCCTGGTGGCCTCCAGGACCCCCCCAGGGCCGATTTCGCTCCGATCGCTCCGATTCGATATCGGCCCGATCCCATCTAGCCCCCCCCCTTATTTCAACAATCCGATGCGGCCCGTGCGTTGCCGCGGTTATTCGCGAGGGCAGCATCCACAGGTGAAGCTCATGTGCGCGCGGAGTCTGCAGGAAACCATTGGCCCCGTTGCCGCGCTGCTGTAGGCACCAGGCCTAGCGCGGGACAGTCGCACTTACAGCGGGGACCCATGCCAAGAAACTCCTTGCTTGCCTCCAGGGTGCCCTGGGTTTCTTGGGTTTCGATGGTTTTGCTGTGGAAGGCGCGATGTTCCCACGCCAAAAGTGCATGGACGTCTCGGGGTTTCAGGATTGGCTTTCTTGTGGAAGGTTTCTTGTGGTCGAGCCCCTATTGTACCTCGCTGCTATACGCACCAGGCCTAGCGTGGGGCAATCGTACTTCAACATGGGTGAAGCGGCTTCTTCCCCCAGTCGCCAGCGAAATCCGACGCCGACCCGCGCCGACCAACGACTCGGGCAGCTCGACGGGCGGCAGGGGGGTGGGGTTCGGAAGTCGTCAAACCGCGGCCACATCCAACCTCACCCCCACCCCCCATCAAATCAGGGGGATCGATGGTTGGCGAGGATGGGGTTCGGGTGTCGCCACCTACCCAGGGCCACGTCTTCATTCTGAGACGTGCCCTGACAGTCCCGGGGGGGGCCCGTGGTGGGCTCTGGGAGGTCCAGCGCGGCGAGGCGCTTCGGGACCCGTTGCCTCCAGGGCCCAGTTTCCTTCTCGGCGACGCACACCGCGTGCGAGCGATGCCTTTGGAGAGCGCGCGAGGGTCTCCCCGAGGCGGCGTCCCCCCCCCCCGCGCCGACGCGCGCCTCGAGGCTGTGGCGGGGTGCCGGGTGACGAGCCACGGGCCTCAGGAGCCCAGCCTGGGGCCGCGTCCTCTCGGATGGCCCGCCGCGTCTCTCGGCGCCCTGCGAGGGAGGGCAGCCGCCGGGCGCCGGCCGCCCCCCCTTGGGGCCAGGCAGCCGCCGGGCGCGGCAGAGAGAGAGAGCCGGAGAGAGCCCGTCGCGGGCGGGCGGGCGCGGGGGCAGCCGCGGGGCGCCAGGGAGGGAGGCGGGGCCCCCGGGAGTTCGGGCCCTGAGGTGCTTCGCGCCGCTGTCGGCCCTCCAGGGGCCCTCCTCGGGCCCCGGGGCTGTCCGAGAACGGCTCGGGACGAGGAGCTGGTCCCGAGGGCAGGGCCCGGGGTCCAGGGCTGGTGTACCTCAGGGCCGGTGGAGATCATGCTGAGACGAGGCTGGGACTCGCAGCGGCGGAGGTGCGTGAGCTGACGGCCGTGCAGCAGGGGCTTTTTCAAAGATGCAGCGTTCGAGTATGGAAGTTTTAGATACTCAGGGGGGGAAGGGTACCGATACCGCTACTCGTCCCTGAGATCCCTCGTCTCCACGGCTGGATGATTTTCGGATTTGTTGGCCAAGCGCATTCGGGATAGATCCAGGGAGTGGCAGTATCGGTCCTCCAGGGCCCGTCGTCGCGTTGCATTCAGTGGTGTGGGGACAGGAGACATACGACGCAACATTTGTCCCAAGGCTTTCTGATGTACCTTCGACCGAAGGCGGCCTTTGGTCGCAGGCGAGCTCTTGGCCCCCCCTTCCCCCGAGCCTGGCCGCCAGGGAACAGGAGCAGACACTCGGGGATGCGCCCCCCCCCTCCCCCCCCTGGGGTTGGCTGTTGTGTCCCCGAGCTGGGCCTCCTCCTCCTCCTCCTCCTCCTCCTCCTCCTCCTCCTCCTCCTCCTCCTCCATCCATCTCTTGTGCCCAGTCAGGAAGGCCCCACCACAGCTCGGAGGAGGGCCAGCCGAGACGACGGCGGCTCGCCCGCGCGGCCCAGGTCCGCTCCAAGATCTGCCTTCGGGCCCCCCGGGCCCGTCCCGGCCCGTTCCTCCTGGGGCGGATGTGCGGCCTTGGCCACGAGCAACCTGCGGGAGGCCCGCCGTTGTCTCCTCTTCCTCCTCCTCCGCCTCCTCCTCCTCCTCCTCCTCCTCCTCCTCCTCCGTGCCAGGTCAGGACCATCCTGGGCCCTAGGATGGTGTATAGGCCTTCCTGGCCTCGGCCAGGAGGGCATGTGCACCATCCTGGGGCCCAGGATGGCCCTGGCCTGGCACGTCGGTGGTGTATAGGTGCTTTCTGCGTATGCCTCCCTTCGAACAGGGTCGGTTTCTCGGGGCCGCCGTGCCCCCCCCCCCGGGTCAGACCGCGGCAGCCGCGGAGGCGTGGCTCAGGGCTCGGGGGCAGCGTTAGCGGGGCTTCTGCTCAGCGGGGGGCGCATCGAGCCCCAATCGCCCCGTCACCGCCGGCAGGGGCTTGGTAGCCCCACCCCGCCCGGGAACGCTCGGTGTCGCGATCGGGGGCCTCTCGCCGATCTGTCGGCGATATACTGCTGGTTCCAGGCCGATGCCCCCCCCGAACTGAGCGAGCCCACCCCTATCACTGCCCCTCAGTGGTGTGTCCCGGCCCAGACAGACGTCCCGCCCGCGGCCAGGAAGGGCGCGGCCACGGGAGGCAAGCGTAAGCCGATGTGGGCCATGACCGAGGCCCCCCCCCGCCGCCACCCCTTTTCCCTACCTCTTCCTCGCCTTCATCCATACTCCTCCTCCTCCTCCTGCCCTTCTCGTCCGTCCGTCATACTCCCTTCCCCTCCATGCTCTCTGCCTCCTCCTCCCTCTCCTCCTCCACCTCCTCCACCGTTCTCACTCCTCGTCCGGCCTCCGTTCCTCCTCCCTCATGCCTGCTAATACCGTCATCGCTCCGTCCTTGCTCCTCTTTCCTTCCGTCTTCCATCCTCGCTTCGTCCTCGCTCCTCTTCCCTTCTCGGCTCCTCCTTCCTTCTCCCTCTTTCTCCCTCCGTTCCATTCCATCCCCTCGTCCTCCATGCCTCTTCCTCCATCTGTTCCTCCCTCCGACGGCACGAATACCGCCTCCATGCCTGCTGCCTGCTGCTGCCACCACCACCACCGCCTCCGTCCTCCGTCCTTGCTCCTGCTCCGTTTTTCGCCAGCGACGTCTTGCCCCCATTTCCCGAGTTCCCCCAACAAAAATTAGCCTTCACGGAAAGAAGGTGAATTAGGAATTACTTACACTCCAGGGGGGCTATTTGGACCCACCGCCCCACCCAGCGTATGCCCCCGTGTTTGGCCACCAATCTCTAGTCCAGCCGAACCTCCCACAAATCTTGGGACTGGGGTCGCCACACCCTCAGTTACCCCTCCTCATCCTGCTCGCCCCAGCCTCCGCATCCTGGATTCGACGATGGCCAGCGCAACATGTTAGATGCGGCGGACCGTGAGACGAGCGGCCTCGCTTGCCAGAGCTGTGGTGTTTCACTCGCGCGCGTACGCTGGCAGTTTTTGTCGCAGTTCCCCAGGTAGCCAGTGGGTTCGGTGACATTTGTGACTCAAAGCGGTTGGCTCCCATAGAGCTTCGGAGGGGGGGAGTGTTGGCCCGAGGCCGAGAAGGAGGACGCCGAGGAAGCGGACGCAGACGAGCTGATCAAGTTCGCCGAGGATGGACCGGTTACGGCACCTGATGCGAACGGGCTGGCACCACCACCTCCATCACCTCCAGACACCGTGTGATAAGTGTTTGTTGCAAGATGTTTCCCGCCGCCGCCAGGTATCGACAACGTTTCAAGTTTTCGGCGCCTGGGGTCCGCATGGTGACAGTGTTTTCGTTATATCGTATGCAGTGTGCATTCTTACATACGCTTATCTGTTTACATATATACATACATACATACATACATCCATACATACATACATACATACATACATACATACACACATACATACACACATACATGCACACATACATACATGCATACATCCATACGTACATACACATATACCTACCTACATACGTACATACATACACACATGCATACACACATACATACATCCATATATACATACATGCATACATGCATGCATACATACATACACACTACGCACATACACTCATTGTTTCCATACATACATATATAGGTACAGGCATACATACACACATACATACACCATCCATACACACATACATGTATGAATGTAGGCATACATGCATTTACACATGTGTACACATGCATATGCATGTTCACAAACAGTTTACAATTACATCTCCGATACATAACCATATGCATAAACACATACATGTACATACACGTACACAGATACGTATACACGTGCGCGCACACATACGTCGACATCTGCATATACATTGACATCTTAATATAAGTATACACACACGTTTGCACATGCAGACACCGATTCATGTACCTATACATATGCACATGCATACACACATATATGTATGCATATATATATATATATGTATATACATGTAAATCGATCTGCATGTGCATACTCGTATCTCTGTATAGATGTATCCACAACAGTGTTCGCAGGGGGGTGATCTGTAATGGCTTCGCCCACTGCCGCCAGCTCCCTCTCGATCATAACGGGACATGTCAGAGTTGCGTCGGTGCGTCTCGGCGTTGCCTTGCCGCACCAGGGAACATGCGGGGGCGGGTCGGAATCATCAGCGCATGTTGAGACGTTGGCGTTATCGAAGATGCCCAAGGCCGATCACCGCCGCCACCTGCCTTTCTGGAAGCGCCTATGTGGCCGAACGTTGTGGCCAGAGTTTGGCCATCGGTGCCTGTGAAGATCTCTTGGGGAGTCTTGGGGGTCTCCTGGGTGCCTCTTGGGGGTCTCTTTCGGGCCTCTTGGGGGCCTCCTGGGCACCTTTTGGGGCCGTCTTGGGGCACCCTTGGGGGTCTCGGGGGCCATCTTCGGTCCATCTTGGAAGCGATCGGTCAAAGAAGGGGAGCTCCTCAACAAGGCCCCCTCCAGGGAGGCCAACATGTGGCCACAACCTTAGTAACATCAACGCTTATGCCTTCCTCGCCGAGGCCATCTTGGACGCTCCAACCCCTCGCCAAACGCCCTGTCCAGACCCAGTGGGGGGAGGGGGAGGGGTAAACCCTTCCCCGAAGGTGAAGAAGTGGTTGGTGGAAGGCGCGCCCTGAACCAGTCACGCCCTCAAGGGCTGGTGGGATGCCCATCCAGGCCACGCGCGCGCCGCCACGCGAGCGCATCGAACGCCTTCCAGCACCATTGGTTTGCGATGTGTTTCAGAATAGAGCTCTTCAGCAACGGATGCAAACACCACATGCGACCCTCATCAGCGCTGCCGCATGACGTGATTGTCATCGGCGCCACCGTTGCCGCCGTCACCACTCAAGCACCTTCATTATCGATGCATGGGTATAACAATCTCCAGTGGCGTTGCCAGCATCGGCGCCGTCATGGGCCTTGCCGTCGTCATCGTCATCATCGCCACCATCATCGACACTATCTTCATCGTTGCCGCCGTTGTCGACGTCAGCATGCGACCGCACCCGAACGAGTCGCCGACCCAAATTTCAGTGCCCGCGCGCTGGCGCGGCCTCTGAGACGCGCGGCTAAGCTGCCATCGTCAAGCGCCATAACGGCCGCATCGGTGGTGCCAAACCAGTTGGCCGCTCTGCGCGCGAGCATGCGCGCCCAGCGCGGTCGCAGAGATGCGCCAGCCACGGCCAAGCAGTCATCGCAATCGGTTGGACATAGATTGCGCAACATAGATGTCTAGAGACACACTGCTTGGTGTCCACGCAGTATGGACACATCTCTATCTATATAAATATACACACATATATGCTCAGAACAAGACCTCCACCAAGAAACGCCCCAGTGTTCCTGGGATGGGGTGGAGAGTTCCGAACCCCACTCCGTGAAAGAAATCTCAGCGTCGGGCGTCTGGGAAGGCCGGCACCGCCACCGTTATTCGACCTTTCAGTGTTGCCACTTGCGAACCATACCCCTGGGGGTCCAATCGACGTTGGGAGAATGGACGCACCCGCTGGGTACTACTTGGCTGCAGACACCCTTCACATTCTGCACCCTGGCCGTTTAAAAGAATCTGACCTTCAGATGCAGGATTCACATGTGATTGCCTACTATATGATTCCGCCCTTCGCGTTAGAGCCAGCGCCCGTCTCCCCTTTCGTGCTGTACCGCCCTCCAAACCACCCCGCGTCCTGACGCCCTTCAGAATTGGAAGCAGTCTGCGGCTCGTCAGTGCAATTTAGTTGCATGCCCATGGGATTCGAATGTGGGTACAGAGGTCATCGGATAGTGTGTGTGTGTGATTGTGTGTGTGTTCGGCGGGGACGAATTCGGTGTGTGTGTGTGTGCGTGAGTGCGTGCGTGCGTGTGGGTGTGTGTGAGTGTCCAATGGGATCGCTCTTCTGAAGGCCCGGCCGCGCGCGCTAGTCCCGTGCTGCTTGCTCGACTCTGCATCGTCGCTGCGCGCGAGACCCCGATTACCAACAAGTGTGTGTGTGTGTGGGTGTGTGTTTGTGTGTTTGTGTGTGTGGGCGTGTGTGTGTGTGTGTGTGTGTGCGTGTGGGTGTGCGTGTGTGTGTGTGTGTGTGTGCGTGCGCGTGTGCGTGTAAGCGCGTCCGCCCTTCCTCCGGATGCAATTGATGCAGCGTGTCCCGCTGCAGTGTGCGCGTTCGTGACCTTTACAGCGCCGGAGGAGGAAATCGTAGTGTGCGTGTGTGTCTGCACGCGCGCACGCGTTGGTTCAGAAATGCTTCTGGGAGCGACCTGTCTGTGGCCCCCCTTTCACAGAGGGTAACTCAGATACAATGTGTGATGTTGTCATGCTGTCGGGCACCTTAATCAGCATCCTTTAAGTCAAATGTACAGTATATCTCATTGTGGCTCGCACCTGACTTGTCAGAGCGCCGAAACACGAGTCCGAACAACTGTTCTTTCGATGAAAGTTCGGGCATCGCCTAACATCGTTTACGCGTGCAGCTACAAGGATGCCGTAAGATATTGACATATATGTTTGTTGATATGGAGTTCAGTCAAAGTGCGACCGCACACATGGGAAGCACCCCGCCGGCAATGAGCTACGAAAGCTACGTGTTCAACATTCTGGAAATATCCATTCTGTAGGACGGCGAAAAACGAGCTTCGCCGTTGCGATTTCGCAGTAGTTGTTGATTGCATGTTACCGTCACAGCAGTGGAATTCGTTTCTCCCTTACCCGTGGCATGAGTGTTCGTTTTTCCCATGGAGACGGAGTGATCTATCTTGTAATGTCCTCGGCGTTGTTTGTTTACTTATTTTTTTCACTTAAGCCTTCTCACGTGTCACTGGCCCCCCGGCGCCTTATTATCATCGGCAATTGCCTTGCCTTGCCTCGGTCTCGTCGCGTCAGCCTTGCCTCGGTTTCGGCGCCGTCTCGGCTCTGGCGTGTTTCCTGCTCCGGAGCAGCCGCAACCACCTGAGCCTGGCTTGAGGCCCGATTGAGGCCCGGGGACGCCTAGGCTGGCGCATGCGCCGATTCCGTGCCAAGGATTGGGCTGGCCAGGATCGATGCCCACAACGGTGTTTGCATGACTGTTTGGGCGTTTTGCGCCATCGAATTCATGTTATACCTTCCGATGTTGGTCTGGCCTTTTGCCCCGTCAGGTAAAAAACAGGCAACTTTTTTTCGGAATCTATTTTACAGTGTGTGTATGTGGGAGAGAGAGAGAGAGAGAGAGAGAAGGAGAGAGAGAGAGAGAGGGAGAGAGAGGGAGGGAGAGAGCTTCAGAGCGTGAATTACCTACCCCGCTTCGCTTCCAGGCAAAACCAAGTCATACCACGCGCCTCCTCGTCAGCGGCCTGACCAGTACAGGCCGTAGTTTGGCATCGCTTGGTATCTCTTGGAAGCGAGGGTGGTGAAAAGCGAGGTAGGTTTGTTTGCCCTCGAGAGTTGGCGTCTTCCCACGACGCTCCTTGTGCGTGCACGGAGCTGCACGGGCAGCGCAGCGCAGCGCAGCGCCTGCTGCAGAGCTCTCACTGCCGCTGTGCCCGGGTGGTGTCTCGAGGTGCCGCAGAAGAGACTCCGCCCACGCGCTCTCGGGGCGTGGTTTTAAGTCGGGCCCGTCCCTCCACAGGAGGAATATTGAACAATAGTGAAGAATAGTCTGGGGACAAGTTTTTTTTATTTTAAAAAATATGTTTGACCATTTGGGATTATCTTTTCTAGTATGTTTTAGATATCGTCCAGAATCCCCCTGTAGGGGGACACGCCCGACTTAAACGTGGTTCTCGGTCTCAGCCCCAGCCTCATCCTCGGCCTCGGCTTCACTCTGAGCGCGTGGGTCATCGGTGGCTGGCGTGCGTGGGGGTCCTCTCCGCAGGAGCTGGACTTCGACAGCTACCTCGGCGACCTGGAGTTCCGGCAGTGCCTGCAGGCGGCAGCCCTGTCCGTCCCCATTGGCAAGCCCCAGTGGTCGTTTGGTGACAGATCGGGCGTTCCTGGAAGGTTCCGCTTTCAATAGGTCGATTCGAGGAGCTGACATCTCTTCCTCGGCAGAAGGGCGGCGGAAGTAAAACCGGGGCGGCTCCGTTTGGCAGAACCAGGCTGAAGGCCAGCGGAAGTAGAATCAGGCTTCCCAACAGATGCAGGTCCGCACTCAGGGTTTCGTCCACGATCCCAACGATCCAGCGGCGTGCGCGAGCAGAAGTCCTCCCTGGATCGCCTTTCGCCGCACCGGCTTCCAGGCCAGGGATGCCCTCTCGAGAGGCGGCGTTGGTCGCCGATGACGCGCTCCTCGTCCACGACCGACCGTGTGCTCGCCAGACCGGTCCTGGCCCAGTGCCCAAGGCCAGCCTGAGCAGAAAGAGGACCGCGTCGACATCACCGCACGGCATTCGGCCGCGCCCTGACGAGGCACCCTGCGTCGCAATGTTGCAGGCAGGGCGGAGGGGTCACGGCCTAGAAGCCCAGATCATATTCTTGCTCGGCCGCCCCGCCTGGAGGTTTAGAGTGTGCTCCTCTTGAATGAGAGCGTGGGCTTGCGGAGCTTCGAGCTCTTACCCAGGGCCGGGTTTCCTCCGATGGCTCAAGGGCCTCGCAAGCGGCTCTCAAAGGGCGGAGCAGAAGGGAACACAACCAGGGGCACTGGTCCGCCCAGTTCACCAGGTGCCGTGGCTCCAGAATCCTGGTGGCCTCCTGGGGGCCCTGCCTCCATAAGGTCCACGCGTCCTCCAGAGCTCCTTGGGAGGCATCGGATCCCCCCAAAAAGACTTTCGAAGTCGCCCCCATCGGAACCAGCCCCATCCCCTACCGAGACAGGGTCTGTTTTCGGGGGCAACGATAGGGGGGACAGGCATAGGGGGGGATGCATCGACCCCAGGTCGCCCAGTGATCGCCGATAGGGGCCCGATAGCTGCACAGGAAGGTCCAGATTCACTATGGGGGGCCTGTCGCCGATCTATCGGCGATGTATCGCCGATTCCAGGTCGGCGCATCCCCCCCTATGCCAGTCCCCCCTATCGTTGCCCCTCATCCGTTTGCTCTCCCAGCGTGCCCCTTGCAGGTGGGCCTCGGCGCCGCGAAACGCGAAGGAGACGGCACCCACCCCCAACTCCTCTAGAGGGAGGTAGATCGGTCGGCCAGCGGGGCCGAGGTTGGCCAAGGTCTGCACGGGTGGCGGTGGGGAGCCCGTGGAGTTTCCAGGCTCCACGAGCGACCCGAAGCACGCCAAAGGGGCACAAAACGATGACAGACACACGACAACTCGGAGGTCCGCGCGGACTTCTCGGATCGGCGCTGGACCCCCCTCCCTGGCGCGCGTGGCGCGCGGAGCGCGCCAGGGGCGGCGCCGGAGTCGCCGCCGGGGGGTGCAGCGCGGATGCCAGAAATCCGTGCGGGTCTTCGAGTTGTTATGTTTACGGCATTGTTCGTTCCCTTGCCCTGACCTTCCAGGAGGGCTTACAAATACCGCCCAGACCTAGATACCCAAATTCCAGTCGAGGTTTTAAGCAGTCCAGATAGGTCTATTGGTCTGGAGTCCTATTGAAGGTCAGGGTTCCCAAAAAACCGGCGCGGATCCCAGAAAAAATCCCTGCGGATCTCCGAGTTTTTATGTTTATGTCAGTCTTCGTTCCCCCACGTCAGGACACGCCAGGATGCCCCTGTTAGAGCCTCGGCCCTCTTGCCCCCCACCAAAGTGCGGGTGAATCCTCGGGCGAGGAGCCGATCCCCCTCGACGAAGCACCCGAGGAGGAGGATCCTCCTGTCAAGGGCGTACAAGACGCCCCTACCCTGGTTTACGAGGCGCTGTGCGCTGAACCTCCTGTGGGCTGACAGGGTAGACCCTGCGTATCGCGCGTGCCGCGCGGCGTCCTGGCGGCTCTCTAGCCTGTGGGAGCTCCCAGGAGGTTTACAGACCACGCATTTGTAACCCAGGGTGGGGGCATTATTTCATTCCTCAATTCTGGGCCAGCGAGACAGCCTTTCGGGCAGCCGCCACGCGAGAAGCCGGGCAGAAGTTCCATGCCCAGGTAACTTCTTGTCGCCGCTGCAGCGGGGAGCAACAAAAGTCGGTCCTCCTGCTCCTGCAGGTACGGATGCAACTTCTGGGAGGTCAAATTCTGAGTTTGCCCTGGTCCGTAATCCGGCTTGATCCCGCTTGAACCGGCTTAATCCCGCTTAATCCGGTGCAATTTCGTTTAATGTGGCTCAATGTCCCGCTTCCTCTGAGGCCCCATCCGGCGTACCAGCCCCCCAATGGGGCTTAATCCTCCCTAATCTCTCCGCGGAAGCCCTCCCAGCAGTTGCCTCCTAACGTTATGTCGGGCCTGTCCCTCTACAGGAGGAATGTTCCACAATGGTCAAACATTAGTCTTGGGACTCCCCTTTACTATTTGGGCTATTTTCGATTATTCTCGGACTATGTTCAATTTTGGCTATTTGGGAATATTTCTTGAGTGCTTCTCATTGTTCGCCCAAAATCCGCCTGCAGGGGGGCGTGCCCGACCTAATCCGAACGTAGGCCTGGGCGCCTGCCCCTCCGCAAACCCCCTGCGGCGCGACCGCGCCCGCGGGCGCGCAGAGTGCTTGTTCGCCTCAGCCGGGCACAGCCGTCCCGCAGCAGTGGAGACAGGCAAGAAGAACAGCCACAAACGCGGGCCTCGGTGCCCCGCCGCGACTTTTCCCGGTTCGACGGCTCTGTAAGAACGGTTTTCTGAAGGCAGATCTGCCTTCAAAAAACCGTTCTTACAGAGTAGTCTTTCCTCCTTTTGAAGGCAGATCTGCCTTCAAAAAACCGTTCTTACAGAGTAGACCAGTCTTTCCTCCTTTTGAAGGCAGATCTGCCTTCAAAAAACCGTCCTTACAGAGTAGACCAGTCTCTCCTCCTTTTTGAAGGCAGGTCTGCCTTCAAAAAACCGTTCTTACAGAGTAGACCAGTCTTTCCTCCTTTTGAAGGCAGATCTGCCTTCAAAAAACCGTCCTTACAGAGTAGACCAGTCTCTCCTCCTTTTTGAAGGCAGGTCTGCCTTCAAAAAACCGTTCTTACAGAGTAGACCAGTCTTTCCTCCTCCTGCCCCGGAGAATTCCCCCCGCGGCGTGCCGTGCGGCGGCACTCGGCAGCGAGACCCCCCCCCCTTGGCCGGCGTGGGGCGCTCGGCGCGCGGCTCTCTCGGGCGCGTCGGGCGGGCGGGCGGTGTCGGGTCGGCCCGGCCCTCTGCAGGAGGAGCCCGGTAAGAACGGTTTTTTGAAGGCAG